TCTTTTATTTGATACCCATAATGTAATATTTCATTTATTTTATCGATGTACTTTAGTTAAATTTTCAAACAGGTGGCAACACTCTTCAAACATATTTTCGGCTGTACGCCTTCTTAAAACTCTTTAGTTTTACACCCACATGGCAATAATTCATTTATTTTATCAATTTGTCTGAGTTGAAGTTTTCAAATAGGTGGCAACCCTCGTCGAAAATATTTCCAGAAGTTATCTTTCTTAAAACTCTTTAATTTGATACCCATATTGTAATAATTTATTTATTTTATCAATATAATTGTGTTTGAAAATTTTCAAATAGGTGGCAACCCTCGTCGAAAATATTTCCAGAAGTTATCTTTCTTAAAACTCTTTAATTTGATACCCATATTGTAATAATTTATTTATTTTATCAATATAATTGTGTTTGAAAATTTTCAAATAGGTGGCAACCCTCCAATTTTTTGCAGTATCATTGGTTCTGGTATTATACCGAACGATACAAAAAAAAAGTTATTCAAATCGGTTCAGCCGTTCTCGAGTTTTGACGACCGTGACATACGAACACAACATTTTTATTAATATACATAGATAGATTGTTAAAATATACATTTAATTGTACTGCTTATTTTTTCCCCAAGGAATACTATTATATTCCGCGTAAGGGTAAAAAATGCCCTAGTGGAAAGCTGTACGGGAAATACGTCAATCAACGCAGTAAGAAAAGGAAGACAACATACCTTGAACAAAACACACCACCACCTGCTAGTACTAAGACTAATCCTTCCACCAAAAATTACGAAGTTCCTGAAATTGATTTTACGATATGTAGAGCATTAAAAGCAACTCTCAGCAGAAGCATTGCAGATTGGAATGAAGTCAGAGATAAATGGCAAAAGACATTTAGCTTGCGACAGAATGACTTAAAGGAACTGACCAACATTGATTTTCTCCAAGCCTGGCCCAAATATTCTGATTCGCGGGCTCCTGACTTGGTAACAATGAAATTACGTACTTAGCTCGCAGTTTTACTATACATTTACACATTACAGATAAAACTTGACTTTAAGATCATGTACCCTGACAAGGAGGATTGTTTGTATTCGAAATGGGAAATATTTACGGAAAAAATTCAACGATTTTATGAAACTAATGTACACAACGATTTCTGCAAACAGCTCTTTTCTCTTGCTAAAGCTTCAACGAACAAAGGTAAATACAAATCAAGTGTAACAAAAAACTCCAAAATCAATCGGCTTTCGTTAATTTCTTAAATTTTGTTTAAAGATACGCAAGACTACATTCTTACAACGCTGCTGAATGGAGTTCTTCCACCTTCATCAAGGTTTCAAAGTTCGTGCGGAAAGCTAAGAAAGAAAGCAACAATAGCAGACTGGCAACAAAGCTTTGTTTTTCGATTAACTTCAATCAACGATTACGAAAGGAAAATTACTGAGTTGATAAGTATGTACTATTCTGTAGGAATGACAATACAGCCTTTTATAATTGTGGAAGGAATAGCTGAGGGTGATATAAGAGGATTTTATATATATTTTGATAAAACATTGTATAACTTTGAGTCGTTTCTAGAATGCGTAGATATATGTTTCAAAATCTTTCACACTCTTTGCCTAAAATATCCTCAGGCATGCGAAACTTCTTGGGTTTTCTTACAACAGTTTTTTTTTTAATTTATACTGAATATGACTACAAGTCGGCAAATTTAACGTCTCTTTTGAATTTCATGGCATATAATTAATTGCTTTAAAATGTTTATTTGCTTCAAGAGCCACAAAAAATGTGCAGAAATTTATACCTTAATATATCATTTTAAAGTAGATCATAAGCTTTCTACGAAACTTTTACGACTGCAATGCAAGCAAGATAACTGTAATCAATTATTTACAAAAATTTAAAAACACATACGAACCAAACGTAACTCCAACTGAAGCTATAACGATACCAATTTTAAGTAATAATTTAAGTACGGAAACAGAACCTCAAGATGTTGATAATTCATCAATGCAAAATATTGTTAATGAAAGTAAAAATCTAAAGAAAAAGGCACTGTATTTATCTTTAAGTTTGTATACTCAAAACAATTTGCCTAGGAAACAAGTAATCGATATTCAGACTATGGTATCTTCTTTGCTTTTGTCCGTATCCTTTACTATTCAGCATGTATTAAGCTCAGAGGCTATCAGTGATGTCAATGTAGACTTACAATTATTGCTAGAGTTTTGCAAGAACCCGTTTCAGGAAATAAGTTCCGAATATATGCTTTTTTAGATATTAAAGGAGCTTAATTTATATGAACATCCAAAGACTATAATCATAAAAAAATCTGTTACTGAAACAACAATACACGGGAACCCAACCTTTACTCTTAAATCTTTCGACATATATATTATGCCTTTAAATTTTCAGTTCAAAGCTATTTTTGAGATTCCATGCCTTGGAGAGCACATTACAGAACACAGAAAGATACTTGAAAGAAAGTAGTTTACAGAACTTTGTTAGCGGCGAAATATTTAAATCACGAAAAGATTCAATCTGAGCTAGTTATACCATATATTCTTTATCTTGATGATTTCCAAATCAACAATGCGCTTGGCAGTCATACTTACTCGATATGTGGATGCTATTTTAGTTTTCCGTCAATGCCAAAACATCTGTTATCAAAACTAGAATACATTTTCCATGGAGCTTTCATTTCAACAAAAACAGTTAAATGCAGTGGTGTTGAGAACTCGTTTTATTACCTTGTAGAAGAGTTAAAGCTTCTTGAAGAAGGCATTGAAATTTTAACAAAAAATGGAAATAAAAAAGTTCATTTTATATTAGGTTTAGTAATAGGAGACAATTTAGCCGTTAATAGCATAATGGGGATTGTTCAATCTTTTAATTCTAAGAGATACTGTCGTGTTTGCACTAGGACTAAAGACCAAAGAAAAACGATGTATCAGAAAAACAAGAAGCTTCGAGAGATGACGAAAGCTATTAAAAAGACTTATTAGAAAATAATTATCAGGAAACCGGAATAAGGGAAGTTTGTGTTTTTGATAGGTTGAAATATTTCAATGTGACCGAAAATTTTTCATTTGATTTAATGCATGATGTTTCCGAAGGAGTTAGCATATATGATGTTTGTAATGTTTTGTTACGCTTAATTAAAGATAAAGTCATAACACTCGATATTATAAACAGCAGAAAACAATTTT